AACTCTGAAGTTTAAAAATCTTTTCTTCGTCATCAAGTTTGTACTTTAGTACTTGTCTTTTAAAGTGTTCAATAAATAAAGGCCAATCTTGCGCCTTACCGTCAAAATACACATTTTTTTTCTTGCCATCAGAAATATTTATTGGTTGTAATTGTACTTTGGACATACATTGCAAATTTTAGTTATGTTGTCAGCTATACTTTCATTAGTATCGCCAATAATTTCTTGTTTATCAGAAATACCCATTCTTTAGTTCTAGTGTATTTTCCCTTGTGATCTTCTTCAAGGATAACATTATTACCATCTTCGAATGACTGCAAACTAGAAACGCTTTTAGCCTCGTCGATTTGATTTTCCAGTTCTAGTGTTTTTAGCTTTACTCGCTCAATTTCTAATTCTTTCTTTTTCTTTTCCAATAACCTTGAACACTTTTTTAATTTAGATCTGTCAGCTTTTGACCGTTGTTTAAATTGAAACCATGAAAATTTATTTCCAAGACTGATTTCTCTTCTATGCCTTTATTCGATCCTTGTTCATTCAAGGTTTTTTAATTTTGTCAAGAAAAAGAATCTTGTTCTATACATTTTTGAGCCTCTTTCAGTTTCTTTTTGATTCGTATGGTTTGAATCTCTACCAGCGGAATTATTATTATCCCTTGTACTAGACCACAAAATATAAGGGACCAAGTTTGTATTTTTGCCCGCCGTTCTGCTAGTACTCCTCCTGGGTTCAGACAATTTGGACTGCTTACTCCGGATGGTTTCTTTTCCTCGAAGGACCACGTTGTTGGGTTTATTTTAAGTTTTTCTCTTTTATTATTTTACATAGTAAAATTCAGTTTGAAAAACTTCTATATTTTATTTTTACAATTTACAGTCAAAAAACCAAGTCACTACAATAAATTATATCCATATATCCTTAATTGCATCAACTATATACTAACTATAAAAAAATATATAACAAAGATATTACTTCTAATATAGCATTAATGGTAATCTCTCTCAAATTGTATTCCTTTTCATTATATAGGGCTATTTATTGTAGACCTCTTAAGATTTAATCAGGTTAAGAATACAAGAACAGTAAAGTATCCATTTATAAACCTAGAATGTTTTTGACCCATCCTTGCTTTACTTTGCGTACCTATTATAGATTCAGAAGTCGTAAGTGATGGCATAAAAATTCATTTTGTAAAACATAAAGCGTGACTGAAAAGTATAAATCCTTCGAATCAGATCCACAATTTACCTTACAACTTGACGTGATATATATTTTAATGGAACTATTGTTAGTGTTAAATATACTTTCGTACTTCATTCTTTCATAATAAATATTAAAACAGAACGATTTAACTATATCTTGATGAACAATTAGTTGGTGAGCATAAAATATGAAACATAAAAAATATTTTGTAAGTTTATCTCTTATAGGTGAAGAAAAATAGTCCTTTAAATCTTACAACGATATATATTTACTATTGCGAACGGTTCAAAGTCAAAATTACTTCAATCTGTGGCATATTCTCTTTCCACCAGGATAGCTATTCACTAAGTCATGGGAGTGCTCTCATGGGAGTGCTCCCATATATTTTGCTCTCTTACTCTTAGGTGGGTATATCGTGCTTACTCACTTTTAGCCCAAGTACATGCGTAGTAAGGTCAGATTTTGTACCATGGGAGGGAGAATTGCGGGTTTGCCAGATTTTGGTCAGTATTTATAAACAGAACTTACCTGAGTCGGACTTGGGTAAGTCGTCCTTGAACTAAAATCGAAGTTCGGTTACAACGTCTCTAAAGTTCTAGGTGGTTCTGGTGTTAGACTGGAATTTAGAGATGAATATTAGCAAATCTGTAACTGTTATGTACATTTACGGATTTGTTACTACCCATCTCTAAATTCACGCGATATAACCGAACTTCAATTTTCGTTCAAGGACGACTTTCCCAAGTCCGACATACGGACCTTAGGTCCGTATTTATCACAAAGCAAATTTGAACTACTTAAATAGTAGATTAAAGTTATTCTGTCGACTTGGCAACGTTGGCATGGGAGTATGGGAGCATGGAAGTATGGGAGTGCTCTCATGAGTTAGAGAATAGGTATCCAGGGAAAAACCACAAGAGGACACTATCGAATTATAAGAAGGTCATATAATCAAGCAGGGAACCCATTTTGGAAAAAGAAACGCATATTGTATAAAGTATTATTTGGTAAACTACACAATTTCTATTCTGACAAACTATAAGTGAAGAAAAAATATATTTTTGTCATTTTAAACAATTTTCTGTAGGTTAACAATATCTGTAAACAATTTTAATAAAAAATTCAATCAAACCGGTGCTAACAATAAAAAATAGAAATTAAAAATTAAATTAATATGAACAAAATTTTAAATTAAATGTAATTTTATTAGGTATAAAATAAATTTTAAAACGTTCGGAATTTTAATTAATTTTGTCTCAGTTACCTAATCAAATAATTTTTTGACTTGTAATGCAATTAACTTTTAAATTAAAATTTTTAAGTTTGCGTTTCGTCTTTTACTAACTAGTCTAATCAAGTTTAATGGAGCAAATTTAATAAAACGGGTGACCTTTAAATAAGTTTGGTTGGGATAAATTAAAATGACTTAATCATGGCATGGTGAAATAAAACCTCTATTTCTAGAAGGTATGTATTTTACCTACTGTAAAATTAAATGAGATATTTATTTTTAGGTGACTTCTTGTTTTTTCAAAATAAGGATTACTAGTTTTGGGTAATTATATTTTAAAATGTCCAGGTATAAATGATTGTTTATGCGTATTTCTAAATATAAATTATAGTAAAATTTTTTGCTTTCATGAAATAAAATTTTCGTAAATAGTCCTACATTATTAGCGGTTGAGTGCCAACTGAGCGCGTCTTCGGGTGGTGGATAGGAGGACGGCCAAGTTTCCCTTGGTTAGTGGTAGACATAAGTAGAGTGTGAGAGCCTAAAAACCCTCAAAATCTTTTGCGAAGGCTACCGCCGCGAAGCAACTCCCCAATCTAAGGTGTAAGGTAACGTGCCGACGGATGAATTGTCGCAGGGGCAGATATGAGGCAGCAAACACTCCCCTGAGGGAACCTGGCGACACCCTCTTGTATCTAGCCTTGCCAGCGCATGCAGGGCTCTGCGATGTTCATCTAGTTGCTGGCCGGATAGAAAGATCCCTGGATAATAAGGAGTCCGCCTTGGGTGTTTTTATAGACATAGAAAGTGCTTTTGATAAAACCACCTTCCCAAAGATAATATACTCACTAACCAATAGGAATGTTCCACAAATGGTTAGTGGGTGGATACATAACATGCTCTCAAAGCGAGCAGTAAACATAAGTGTAGAAGATGTGAATATAAGAGATTTGGTTGCGAGAGGATGTCCACAGGGAGGGGTGCTATCACCTCTACTGTGAAATATGGTCCTCGACACCCTCATCAGCCGCCTCAATAATGACAGTTACTACACAATAACATATGCAGATGACCTCTAAAAATTATAGAACAGTGGTGCAAGGACCATTCACTGTCTATCAATCCTAAGAAAACAGAAATGGTCCTTTTTACAATGAAAAGGTCGAAAATGGAATTAAAACCTCCAGAACTCCTAAACATAAAACTAAACTTTGCAACAGAGGTGAAGTACTTAGGTCTCACCTTTGACAGCAAGTTAACATGGAACTCGCATTTAGAAAACAGAGTTATTATAAAAGAGCATACATTGCTTATGAACAATGCCGCCGAACCGTGGGACGCACCTAGGGTTTCTCCCCCAGAGTCGTCGCATGGACTTACACGGCTATCATAAGACCTATGCTAACATACGGTGCAGTTGTCTGGGTACCGAAAACCCACAAATTAACAGCTATCCGTAAACTAGAACAAATTCAAAGAACAGCATGTCTCAACATAAGAGGAGCCATTTTATTTTATTTTTTTTATTTTTTTATTATTAGATAGCTATTTTTGTTTCTGAGTTGTGTCCATTTACAGGCTCAATTTTTTTCCGTTTCTCCTTTTTGATTTTATATGGGGTTTCAAGTTGTTTTTGACTTATTTCGACGTAAATCACAACAACACACTTTTTTAATAAGCAAACAAGTGTTAAGAGGTATATGTACGTGTAAACTACAATTACAAAAAATTGATATGAAACCCATGAAACCACCAACAAAAATGTAAAGCTAGCTTCCGTACTAGAACATGGTGTCATTCGTCGAGATAATTTATCGTTTTGTTTAATAGATCAAGAAATGTAAATATTCCCCTGTTATTTTTTATAAAATAAGAGAAATAAATTTTTTTCTAAATAGTATAGTTTATTATTTTGTAGAAAAACAAAATTTCGAAAATTTTAGTAATGTTTCAGAAACAACCGTTATTAATAATAGGTACCATTTTCCTTAATAAAGTAGAAATAAAATATAAACTATTTCCACGATTTACAAAGGCCTACAAAAAAATTATAGGTATTTTCCGCTATCCTATAAAATTTATATTTTCTGACTCAATTTCAAAAGGTTGAAGGAATTCCAAAACACCTTTTATGGCATAATAATTATTTTCAATTCTACATACTATCTTTAGCTGCTTTTAAAAACGTTCTAAGAAAGTCCAATCAGACCAATTTAATCCCTAAACTATTCCACACTTTTAAAATTTAATTACCTAAAAATATTAAAAACTATTTAAAATAACTTGTTTAGCAGACTGTACAATAGCTATCTTAGTCACACGTAGCGCGTTCTCTGTCTGGGCGTCGAACACCTCTAGAAATTTGATGAATTGTACGCAGCATCTATTTCCAGTTTTTATACAATTTTTTATAGGTTCACATAAACATTACACCTTTCAGAACGTATAAGTTAACCAATGTACCATTTTAATATTTTAAACAGCTTAGATATATACTTAGGAAGATACTAAAATTTACATTTCTTTTATAACTAAGTACATAATGTTTGTTTAAACTAGTACAAACCTGATGTCCAGGTGGCATTGAAAGACTTAGGTTGAAATCGACCGTTAAGGTAATCTTCTAGAGTAAGTGTTGGCGCCACCGGTTTAGTGCTACTCTTCTCTCCTCCTTTTGATAATAAAATAATGGCAGCAATTACCAAACTCACGGCAATTACCACTATGACACCAGTTATTATCCATTTTCGTTTTTTGGTCCTTCCTTTTGCTATTATTAAATCCTGAAACAAAAAATTACACTGAATAGTTGATAGGTTATCTTCAACTGGCGAGTGATAAGCCCTCAGTAGGACATTGGTCTTATTCAAATAAGACAAATGACGTTTCACGTAAAATCTTATATAGATGTTATATTTCATGAAAAAATCATTGTAGTAACATTACCAAAATGACACTATCTTATATCTTCGTTATTATTGGTCCGATTCGAATGACATAAACGGAATTTAACGTAAAATCGCATACAGACGTTACAGCCAATGAAAAACATGCACAGTCTCATAGTCGAAATGAGAGTTGAGAGTGGCGCTATCTAACGACGTATTAATTACAGTGTTTACGTGAAAATTAATTTAAACTGAAATTATTTCAAAATACAGAAGTAGTAGGTGAGCCATTATTTATAAAATTATTAAATCTGTAACGAAAAGTAAAATATATCTTTGGAGTTGAAGATCTTTCGATTTTTCCCATTAAACAAAGCGAAGTTCCTGTTTCATCGCTACTATACCACGATGAACCAGTAGCATTCGAAAATTGAAACCAGCTGCCAAAGAATCATTAGCGACTACATTTTTAGTTGATCATAATAATAAGCAATAAAACCCAAAAAAAGTAGGCCATGGAAAACATTACGAATGTAATGTATAATTCTTCTAATATTTTAAATGACTGTTTGGATTTAATTCAGAGGCATGCGTACTTATCACGAATGTCTCGTGTCTCTGTCAGTCATTGTATCCTTTAGACACATCTTAAAAGATCTTAATAATACAACTGCATTTTCTATTAGTTTAAAGTGGATATTGAAATTTACTGAAGTCGCCCTGTAATAACAAAATATTGAACCTCAAATTAGCGGCGACGTCATGAACTACTCTAAAATAATAATAGACTGGTTGACGAGTTGAGAGGCAGTCACTTTGTCATTATGATCCGATTGCATTCTATCATTAGCCTGGTAATTATCCTGAGGTTTTTTATTTCTCCAAGTTTTAAGAGCCATATTTTCCGTATTTCGAATAAGCGGAACTTAATTAAGCTTCGCATTAATATAAAGCTTCAATTAAATGCACTAAAGAATATTAGGTAAAGCTTTATTAAACCAGTAAGAATTTGGGCAATATTTGAAAAATTGTATAATTTTTAATTCTGTTACTTTTAGAATTTTGATTTTAGAGTCTGCTTTGCACTATCCTGTAATCAAGATAGAGGGGGGACTCAGTACCCAAAAAATAGTCTTAGGAGCATTTCTTGACAGAAGAAGCTTCTGGTAACACCTCCTTCAAATCAATGCCGCTCGCTTACATGGAATAGAAAACATTAGTACAAATGTTCAACTTGCAGGATGGAGTCCTCTATCGACTGTGTTGGCAGCAGACGAACTGCTGAGAACACTGAACAGTCAAGGGTTGTACTGTCAAGGATACGTCGATGACATAGTCATCCCTTATCCGAAGAAAATAATAAACTGGTGACTTCGAACTTATGCGAAGAAATCTAAGACTGACAGAAATGTGGTGCATTAGGGAAAACCTGTTGGTAAATCCTGACAAGATACAACTCAAAACCTTTACTCGGAAAACAGGGCTGGAGGTCGAATAAAATCGATATTAGAAAGTCCACTAAAGCCCATTTTAACGAATTTTAAGGTCCAAAAAAGACGGTCAAAAGAACAAGAGTGAGTACTCGTATAATAGGCTCAGATAACTTATTTTCTTAAAAATGGGAATTGAAAAATAATGACAACTTTAGTGTAAAATCTTATTTATCGCTGACATTCAAGTAAGTATGATATACCAAATAATTATATACAGAGTATCTTAAAATAAAATGAACACATAAAATAACCACATTTCAAACATCCTCCCACCAGAAGTCACTCAAGAGGGAATCTGTAACTTCACATTTTAAACCGCGAAGAAGGTTTCACAATTCTTCCACTTCTAGTTCTATATTTTCGCTTGTCGGTACATTCCTTTCCCTTTAATCCTCTTCACTAATTTCCAAGGGATAGAGCCGCTGAATGGGCCTTAGAAGAGTTCCTGTAGCTGTTCTTAATTTAACAAGCCGTACCTATCCATCTCTTCCAGGAATTAGATTCTCGTCCCAGAGGCGTCTATATCATCTACTTTGAAATTCGAAAACGATGCTTTTCTGTCTTTGAATAAAGATAATTGTCCAAATACTCATTTCGGAACCTCTTTCTTAAATCTTCTTTTAACTTTAAACGATGTCGGTGATGTCTTCGTATATCTCCCTGTTCAATATTATCAATATGAAGTACACCAATTTCCGTAATATCCTAAAACACATTATTGGCGTGAGAAGAACCATGTCATTGAAATCTTCCGAGACATAGGTCAAAGGTCTTGAATTAATAATTAATTCACATTCACAAATAATAGTTAATAATTCTTCATAATTTAGATTAGAGCGACCTAAGACTCTAGCGAAAAATATCTTTAACAATTCTTACAAGTGATTCCCACCATTCTCCCCACCAAGCTACTGTAGGTGATGTCTATTTTCATGTGATCTGCTGTAGATTACTTTGTTCCTTAACTTTCGTCAAATCGATTGCCTCAAACGCATTATTGGCACCAACAACATTTTTGACATTATCGCTGTAAATAATCGAAGGTCTTCCCCTTCTGGCAATAAATCTTCGCCACGATTGGAGAAAAGCATCAGTAAAGAGACTAACTCGAGATGAATAATTCTATAAACAGCGCAAGTATAAATTGCAACCCAAACTTTTCCTGCCTTTCGGATATACAGCGGACCCGTCAAGTCAATACCTACAATTTTAAATACTGCAGCTTCACGCTCTAATGGTAATGGTGGAGACAAATTTTGCATTTTGAGGGGACAGATTTTACTGTCTGTCTACATCTAAGGATCCAGCTTACTCATAATAACTTTGACTCGAGCATGCAAATTTCTCACGTGTTGTTCAAAAATTAACCTATAAACAACTTCATGTTTAGATGGAAGGACATGGAAACCGAAAACATGAAGTATTCTCGTTCAGATATTTTTGATTTGATTCTTATTAATCCATCATCATCTATGAAAGGGATTAATGTAGATATTTCGGGATCATCAATGTTCATAAAATTTTCGTTTTGGATCAATCTGATTATAGTTCATTCTCATGCTTCGAGCTCTTCTACAGACAAATCTTCGAAGCTAAGGAAGTACGAGTATCTATATTGGATTGTACTCACATTATCCTTTATCATTGAGCATTTTCTTTGTAATTCTGATAAGTTATTCTTCCTTTTAAGATTTGTTAAATATCTTCTCACCCATCCAATTTATCTTATTATTAACTGAGCTTCTAAGCCATGAAGGACCTTCCCACTACTTCGAATATAAAAGTTGCTTTGGAGAACAACCTCGCGATGGAAGATCCGCGGGATTTATATCTCCCGGTACATGATACCATTTAGTAGGATTACTTAACTGACGAATCTATTGAACACGATTCCAGACGAAAGGTTTCCATTGTTCTTCTCTATTAATCCAAGTCGAATCAGATCAGTTATAAACTTTAAAGTTTATGTCAAGGTTTTCAATAATGATTATGGACAATCTGACTCCAATCGTTGCTGCAAGAAGTTCTAACCGTGGAATACTTCATTTCTTAACTCTTGATTTTGCTTGGACTAACTGGATATTTACTACAATACTAGTCTCACATCCCAAAAAAATGGTAGTTGCATATGCATGTTTACTACCATCATTGAATACAAATAGGGTTAAATTTAAAACATCTTTAGAAAAAGAAAACCATCGAGGAATCTTTAAATATACCAGCAAAGGTAATTCATTAAACCACCTTTAGAAGCTTTGATGCATATCTTATTCGACCACTTGATCCCATCCCTATTTTCAAAATCCAGTATTTCTGTAATAACAATTTTGGCATTAGGAAAATTGGACAGGAGAAACCAATAGAATAAAATATTTTATTAACAACTGATAAAATAGACCGTTTGGTGAAAACAGCAGCATTAATTTTAATCCACTCTAAAGACAGTTCTAAACTATCTATTCCAAAGTAATCCCAGAAAAGGAGTTAAAGGGATACTTGTTAAATTTTGCGTAAAATCTGTATGTTCCCAGGCTTTAGGATCAAATTTTGCTTTTTCTAGTAGTAGAGCAACAAATAAAATTGTTTTAGATCTTCTTCGGATTCTACACTAGAAATACAGTTGTCTACGTAAAATCCCTTAAGCAATTTTTGGAGAATATGAAGATAAATGAAGATTTTATTCTGGATACATCTAAAGCATTTTTTAAATGATAGTTAATAACAGCTCCCAACAAAAAGTGAACCCAAATACAACTCTGGCGTGTCTGTATATCTTTAAATTCCCTTCCCTATCATATCAAAGAAATCTAAGAAACTCTCGGTCACTTTCTTAAAGACTAATCTGCAAAAATGCTTTTCTTATATCAGCTACAACTTCAAATTGTGAAATTCTGTATCGGAGAAGAATAGATGGTATCAATTCAATTAGATTAACGCCTTTTTCTCGATTATTGAATTACACGAAGGAAATTATTGCTCAAGGTGACTTTAACTGAGCAGAAATTCGAGCAAATTCTGGATTGTTAGTCCAGAAAATAGAGACGATAAATAAATTAGATAGACTAGTAATGGATTTCTTGCTTAATTCTGAAAAAAATACCGATGTTATTAAAGCAGAAATGAAAGAAGCCGACAAATATTCCTTGACAAATCATCGACTAATGTTTGAAATTAATAGCCCTTTTGAAAATCCTCGTGAAGTGATTGCATCTACTTCCAGATCCGAATTTTCCCACCATCATTTAAAATTACCAAAAACCGAGTTTTTTAAAGTATTTTTTCTCTTGATATCAAAAATTAAAAAATTAAAGAGTGTCCGAGATTAGGATCCAACGACCTCTATAAATAGGTATTACGTACAAAATTATGCAATTATAAAAATATATATACGTATACTACAAC